TCTTCCAACATCTCCACGCTGATTATCGGTGGCGGTTTCGCACGCCCTTTGGTAGGAATGAGTTCCTCGGACTTCGTCTAAATGTTCTCGAGGTGTGATACCGGCGCCCAGGATGGCAGCTAGTCCATCTTCGTCTCGCTGGATCTTCCTGACATCTAGATTCCACTGCGAAAGCAAAACGCCCCAGGGTACACATCTCCTATGTACCGTCTTGGATTTCATGCTTCAGAACCGAGTGTCTAGTGTACACGATGAGAGGACAACCCTGAATGAGCGTTCTGAACACCTGTAGTACCCTCAGCACGGCGATGACCTCCTTTTCTGCGATGTGATATCTCAATTCCGCATCGTGGAGAACACGACCCGTAAAACGCACTGGCTGGATCAAACCATCATGTTCTTGACCTAGGACCGCACAGGCGGCCCATTGATTTGCATGAGGTATAATAACAAACGGTTTGGTCCTGTCAGTGTGTCTTAATACTGGGGTCAACACGATCTTGTGTTTCAGGATTTCAAACGCCTGCTTTGCCCTGTAGGGATCTCGCCCTGAACGCACTTGGTCATCCGAGAGCTCATACAGGGAGGCTGCGATCATAGGGTAGTCTTCGATGAATTTATGATAGTAATTCAGGCTGCCTTGAGGCTGTCCAAGAAAGATTGCACTCCCTTCAGGGTAGTTGGGAACGGTAAATCCTGGACACCTTTAGCGATCTTCGGTGTTGCCCTGATTCCTTCAGCACTAATTTCGTGTGACAAATACGGGATGGACAATTTTCCGAACTCGCTCTTCGGCAGACTTACTGAAATATTCCAATACCGCAGCCTATATAGCAAAGCATCCAAGTCAGCGCACAATGCATCCCAAGTTGGTGCGCCATGTGCGATATCATCGATATAAGAGCTGCGCCCTAAGACCGGTGGCATCTGGGTTGGGGCAGGAATGTTCCTCTTGAACACTGTCATTTGGTCCGCCAGGGTCGGTAACGATCGAGAAGTATGGTTGTCTTCACAACCGATACACCCTGGAGTGCTACACCCTGGAGGTCCATCATCCTGGGGGTCC